ATGCACTGAGGTCTAAAATATGAATTCGGTGAATATCCACTCTTGTTAGGATCCTCTAACAAGTAGAATGAATATATATTTTTATATATATATATGAATTCGGTGAATATCCACTCTTGTTAGGATCCTCTAACAAGTAGAATGAATATATATATATTCATTCATTCATCCTAACAAGAGTGGATATTCACCAAATCTAAATAATGCATTTTTTATCACACTAGAAATTCATTTGATATGCTTAGGATGTGTATTTGATTGGTTTACAGATTTAATGTATCCATCGGGTCGCTCTAAACTTTAGTCTGATTAGTTAGCCAGTGTGTTTAGTATTAACATGGAATAAATAACTAAAGTATTATCCATCAAGAAGAATAATAAGCTGTATTTAATAAAATTTTTAGTATTAACATGGAATACATAGTATTTATGACGTATTATGCGTTTATTCATGGTTTTTTTTTTGAAGAAATTAATACAATTTATCATGCCGACAAATATAAATAGAATTATAAAATAAAAAAAAAAGTTATAAGAAAATCTTATAATTTTAATAAAAAATTTAACGGATACTCAAAATACCTGATCCAACTAATAAGAAAATATCAATGAAATTTAAAATTTAAACTTTATTGAAGTAAATATTTACCAATTAGTTCAAGAAGATTCGTATTTTTTGCTAGCTTGAAATTCCGACTAATGCTGAGGAACACCTAACTTGAACAATTCATGCTATTTATTCTTGAACGGATAAGTAGACATCGAATTGGAGATATAAAACAAAGTTTTAGCAAAAATATTAATAAAAAATAATACAAATAATAAAAAAAAAAGGAGATCGCAAAGTGATTTATCAATCAGAAGATTTGATCAAGTTAGAACATTTATAGTTAATTATATTTCAATTTACCAAATCTATTAAGAGTATTAGAAAGAAATAGTAATGTAATCATTGAATTAGTTTAATCTATTTCTAATTATATATTGAGTTTTTTGGATCAGGTGTTAAATATATATTTCATTTGACATTTCCTCGTGATGTCATGAAATTCATGGTTATTAAATTAAATTTTTTTATTTTAATACAAATTTTTAGTAAATCATTATGTTCCAATTATAATTTTAGTTCCACTCTTTTTTAGTTATATGTATACTAAAACAAAAACAAATATAGTTTACTACTATATTTAGATTGTTATTTATGTTTTAAAAAAGTGTTTATTTAAATTTACAATTTAATATCATATAAGCTACATGCCTAAACTTTAACTGAGTAGTAGGTGGGGGATGAGCTAGGAGCTTATTGTTGAAGTCCTGGGGAATGAGAGCTTGCTGAGCCAACAACAACGGAGTGATGATGGTGATGATATAAAAAGCTTGTTAGAGATGGATTTAAAATGAATCTAAAATTGGAATCCATCCAAAAACAACAATAATGCAACAAATGCATAATCCGACATACATATCAAATAATTTCTTAGTTTGAAACATACCAATAAAAAGTCGGAAGAAGTAATATCAATCAGAGCCGTAATTTTATTTGTTATGATGCTCTTCATAATTCGTTTGGTTTTGCAACACGGTTTTCTAGATTTTGTATTTATAAACCAACACAATTATATGAGGAAAGAATCAACTAATAATGCTTCTATATTTAAAATGCTTTAATTCCTCGAGAAGAATGAAAAATAAAATTTCAAAATATGCCATTTACTATTGGAAAAAACAATTTTCATTTTCGATTGTCAGTGAAATCTGCATCTATGATATCTCCACACCTTTTATTTTACACAAAATCGGAACTTTGTCATTAAGCTCTCAACTGCTTTACGACTAGTAGACTATAGTTATGCTCGATATTTGATGTCTTTTTTTTTGTTCTCTTTGTTTTCCTTTGCAAATTTGTCAGCTTTCTCCACCGTTCTGTCAACCAACAATTTTAATATATAATTATACATTTTAAGTTAAAAACGATCTGAATAAGATGTCTACTACAAGGAAAAAGAAGAAAATTGTTGAACATAATGTTATTTAAAAAGTATTAGTTCCCAAACAAATATTCTAACCTCATCACTCATTGAAGTGTTATCCCATTGCCCTTACCCATAATAGCCACATGTAAAATACAATTGGCATCAATGTCAAATTTAACTTTAATATGCCTAACTCCTTATGGACCAGGAGCGATTCCATCTAGCCAAAGCTTTTGAGGCATTTCTTATCCTTCACAAATGACCTTTCACCTTGAATAACATTTAATTTGACACTTCCGCCGATCACTGACTATTGCGAAATTTGAGGATTTTGATGTTGGATGCCTTGTGTTTCTTGGGATAATCTCTCATCGATTACACCAAACATACATCTAAAAGAACAATATCAGTTCTCTAGCAAAAGCTCCACCCTAAAATTAGTTAAAGGAAATTACATCCAAGATGATTTGATACGTTGAATCACCTTTCCAATAAATGAATTATCTATGTGCTTTTGTGTTTTGTCTAATTAATTTTGTAGCTTATGGCATGTCCTTTTTGATAACTCATATTCTATGAACATCATTGCTACTATGCAACTCATTTGACCTAGTGGTTTAGTGTTTTATCATAAATCCGCAAATCATGTATTCAAGACTTAGTACATTCAGATGTGTATGTGAGTTATGGAAAGAAAAAAATATTATAATTGTTCCTGAAACCATATAAATGCAAAAAAAATTATATCCGTTATTCTTTCCATGTTACTTGTTGGTATTTAAAATACATGTTTAATTTTTAACATATTGAGGGATGAAAGAGTAAGAAAAGCAAAGTCTACAGAACAAATTACAATAACCATCCATATGCTAATTAAAAAGGCAAGGCTACAATAGTAGGACAACTAAAGTAAGATGATATAAATTTTAGCTATAAATAAACATATAATATTTTAAAAGGAAATATACTTCTTTAGCTCAGATCAAAGTGTTATATTAGTATTTCCAGTATATACAAAACATCTCAACAACAATATCCTAAAATCTAAAACAAGGTCTTACGACTATTTAATTAAGTTAAAGTCTCTTCTATAATGAGTAAAATTTTGTTTGATAAAACTATTCAATTTTGTCCAAAAATATTTCAGCTTAATAAATTTCTTATTTTTATTCTAGAATCTTTATTGTAATAAAATGCATATTGGAGTATATCTTCTCATAATTCTCCCCTTAAACGACCGACCGATGATCTCGTGATTGACCAAAGGCCTCCATCCAACCAAATGATGATGTTTTTGAGTCATCATATTCTTTTATTCAAGCAGTTGTGAATAAAAAAAGGTGCAAAAGTTGGTTACAAATATAAAAGGGTTCCAAAGTTGGTTACAAACACGAAAAAGTTCCATAAATACCTTGTATTGTAAACAAGGACAAACATGTAATTATATATTATGAACACCGAAATCCATAAATATGTGGCATTTCTACAAAAAAGAGCCATTGATTTACTTTATCAAAACTCTGTTGTTACTGTGCACTTCCTCTCTCTGTCTCTTTGTCTCTCTCCTTCCCTTTATTTCTCTCATTTGTCCTAATCTCTATAGCTTGAGTGTGATTCACAAGACATATCTGGACACAACATTTTAAAAAGTGTTGTGAGCATGGATCATGCCATCAACAAGAAGAGAAGCACACTAAGGATAAGGAATTCATTCGAGGGACACCAAAACATGGAGTGCATAAGGGAATTTGTTCAACAAAAAATCCAAGAACATAGAGACCTGATGGAGGGTTAGATGAGAAAATTGATCTGCATATTACTTGACGGAAGACAGCTAATTCTCTAAGAGTAGAACCCTCAAGAAGAACCCAAATCCCAAGTTCAACGAATGGCTCAAGGGATATAAAGGATGGAAGAATCCAGTAACAAGATAGTGTCAGGTCTATCACGAGTAGTAGAATGCATTCTCCTGGCAGATATGTGATGTTGAGCCACTAAGGAAATTCAAAATTCCTTATTAATATCTTTGATGCGCTGAAGTGTCTATTATTTTACACCACACTGAGGGACTCAACCCTCAGGTGGTTTAATGGCCTCCCAACAGGATCACTCATTTGAATTCAAGAAGATGTTCACAACACAGTTCACTAATACC